GGAAATAGAAAATCTGAACAGACTGACTGTAATCGAGGAATTTGAAACAGTAATCATCTCCCACAAAACAAATGGCCAGGTACAAATGGTTTCACTCATGAATTCTACCAAACTTTCAAATGAACTAATACGCATCCTCCTCAAACTTTTCCAAAAAAGGAGTAAGATAGAATGCTTATAGACACATTTTATGAGGTCAGTATTACTCTGATATGAAAACAAAGATGTAACAGAAAATTACAGGTCAATATCTTTTACGAACATAGATGTAAAAATCTTCAACAAATTCTTAGCAAAACAAATTCAACAATACGTTAAAAGAATCATCATGACAAAGTGGGATTTATTCCAGGGAAATAGGGATGGATCAGCATTTGAAAATCTATTAATGTAATTCATCACACCAGTAAAATAAATGTAAAAACCACGAGAGTCTAATAGGTGCAGTGGAGAATGCAACAGGATTCAACTTCCATTTGTAATTAAAAATTCTCATGAAAATGGAGATAGATGGAACTTAACTCACAATGATAAAAGTCATATATGACAAAATCACAGCTAACATCATACTCAATAGTAACAAACTGAAAGTTTTTCTCTAGGATCAGGTACAAGACAAAGACATTTGCTCTCACCACTACTTTTCAACATATTCTTGGAAATCCTAGATAGCAAAATTAGGCATGAGAAAGATATAAAATAATTCCAAATTGGTAAAGAAGACATAAATCTAAAAGAAAAGTGATCACTACTTTCTGATGACATAATATACATAGAAAACTCCAATGACTCAATAAAAAAATTAGAAAAACAAATAAGTTGATAGGTTATAAAATCAATTACCAAAAGTCACTTATATTCCTATTGATATATGCAAACAAGGAACTAGCAGAAATCAAGATAACAATCTCCTTTATATTAACATCAAAAAGAATTAAACACCTAGGATAAATTTATCAGGAGGTAGAGGATCTACCCAAGGTAAATTATAAAACATTGTTAAAATATAAGAGGACAAAAACAAACAGAAAATTACTTCTTTTTAAAAAAGATTTATTTATTTATACAAGAACCAGGGTACAGGCCAGATGTGCGGGAGGGTGAGAGGATTCACCAGAGACAGAGCAGGGAACAGAACAGGCAGACTGACTGAAATGCACTACTGAGGGGAGCAGTGGGTGAGACAGGAGAGGTCTGCCGCTACATGTGGGGCCCTCGCCTGCTGGCCGGGATCGAACCAGCACTGCAGAGGCTCCAAACAGCTTCACAGCATGGCACTCAACCAGGGGAGGCCCCAGAAAATTACTTCTTGATCAGAAATGGAAGATTTAACATTGTCAAAATTGTCATCTTACACAAAGCATTACACTATTCTAATGCAATCAGTATCAAAGTTTCAAAGTAATTCTTGAAGAAATAGAAAAAAATGCTAAAATTTATATGGACCCACAAAAGACCCTGAATAATTAAAGCAATTCTGACAAAAAAGAGGGAAGAATAGTGGCTTCATAAGCCCATACCTCAAACAGTACTACAAAGCTGAAGTAATCAGAACAGTATGTTATTGGAATAAAAATAGATTCCATTCCAGACCAATGGAATGGAATTGATAGCTCATAAATAAACCTGAGAGTATACATACAATAAATGAGCACAGAGTCTATGTAGGAGAAAGTCTCTTCAACAAATGGTGTTGGGAAAATTGGACAGTCACCTTCAAAAGATTGAATTTAGATTGCTATCTCACACAGTATACAAAAATGAAAATGAGCTAGATTAAATCAATAAAGACATGGATGTAAACCTGAAAATATGAAATATATAGAGGGAAACTTATACAAACTCTCCATACCATTGGCATCAATCTGTCTTTGGAAACAACTCCAACAACAAGAAGTCAAAAGAGAAAAACAAATGAAACAACATCAAATAAAAACTTCTGGGGGCCTCCCCAGTGGCACAAGGGGTAAAGATGCAGCACTACAAAGCTATCCACAGCCACTGCAGCACGAGTTTGATCTCCAGCCAGGGAGGTGACCCACATGAAGCAACAGACCTCTCCTATCCCCCCGCAGCTCCTATTGTCAGTGTATTTCAGTCAGTCCACCTGTTCTGTTTCCTACTCTGTCTCTGGTGAGTCCTCTCAATCCCCACACCTCTGGCCTGTACCCTAGTTATTGTATGCATAAATAAATAAATAATTAAAAAAATACTTCTGCACAGCATAAAAACTTCCATTAAAATGAAAAGCCACCTTACTAAATGGGAGAAAATATTTCTACACCATATATCCAACAAGATATTAATATTCAAGTTCAACAAAGAATAGCTAATAGTTAATATCCAAGTTAATAGTTAATATTCAAGTTCAACAAAGAATAGCTCAACAAAGAATAGCTCAACAACAACAAAAAACCTAATCACAAAATAGGCAGAATAGTTAAATAGACCCTTCTCCAAAGAAGACATACAGGTAGCAAATAGGAACCTTAAAAAAATATTCTTCATCACTTATCATCAGGGAAATACAAATATAAAACACAATTAGTTACCACCTCACACATGAGAATGGCTAATGTTAAGAAGACCAGAAACAAGTGTTGGCAAGGTGTGGAGGAAAAGCAACCTTTGTACACTGTTGGTGGAAATGTAGACTGGCCCAATCATTATGAAATTCAGTATGGAATTTTCTCAAAGCTATTGCTTTATCATATTTTGCCACTTCTTGTTATCTATATGCAGAATGTAAAATCACTAATTTTGAAGGATATATGCACTGACATGCCATTGCAGCACTATTTACAATACCCAAGTCATGAAAACAATCCAAGTGACCAAGGGCAGATAAGTGAATTAAGAGATGTGGTATATATACACAATAGAATGTTACCCAGCTAAAAAAAAAAAAAAAAATGTTGTGCCCCATTTTTGACAACATGAATGGAGTCAGAGGGAATTATAATAAGCAAAATAAGAAGGAGAAAAAACAAATAACAGATGTTTTCATATATAGGTGGACTATGGGAAAAAAAAAAAAAACAACAACAAAGGGTCAGACAAAACCAAACCAATAACAAACCCTAGAAACCTGACCGTAGAACTTGAGACTACAAGAGGGGAAGGAGGATGATTGAGATAAACTTATGGAGTATGTCCAATGAATAACAGCACAACACTATGTGTGCCTTATTGGTGTGGTATTGTTTAGTAACATGCATCTTAAGACATGTGTCCCTGTAACTCTGAATTATATAGAATTATATACAATATTGTGGACCAATGTTATTTGAATTAAGAAAAAGAGAAAATGAAATAATATCAGGAGAGAGGAGAGGGCAATGAATATGGCCAAATTGAATGACAATTATGCATATGGAAGTATATTTTAGAGAGAATGTGTGAATATATTCAAGCCATCTTTGGAGATACTGTGAAAGTTGTTTGTTACAATTAAAATTATTCCCTGATCGCAACTTGTTTTCTCAAATTGTGTTATTTTTCATTAAAAACACTTTTTGTTGTGAAAAGAATCCAGTTATTTGAGAATCAGTTTTTCTGATTTACCTTGTGAATTATCTGCCAACATATTTTAAAATTCATTTTTTAAAATAGATTCCATTGCTTTAAATATTTCATATAATTTAGAGGTATAAATTCACACCCTTTTAGATGTATGTTACCACAACAATGCCCACCAACAAAGCACCCACGATTTTCCACTATAGACCACAATACATTTTCATTCTTTATAAATCTTGTTGCCTTACTGACTACCTAATTGTGGACTCACCCATTAAGACATACCCCTAAATAAGAAATGTATTAATCATCTTTGGATATAAAATATAGCTTTTTGTGTTTTGTAGGAGAAAAATAAATTTGAATTCCAGGCTTTTTTTTAAGCTGTTGTTTTATTATGAAGAGCAAAATCTTTTCTTGTGATAGGCACACAGTGACTTATACCGTAATAGAAACTATTTTTACTCTATGAAAATTGTGGGCTTTTAATACATGATAATTTTGAAATGCAGGATTTTTGAGAGAGATAAATAGATTTTGAAATTCAAACAACATTAAAGCTAGATGACTTAAAATAGGTGACTGGATCCAGAAGATGTGGTACATATACACCATGGAATATTACACAGCATTAAAATAAGATAAACACATGCAATTTGCAACAACATGGATGGTGCTGGAAGGGATCATGCTCAGTGAAATAAGCCAGAAAGAAAAAGAAAAATACCGGATGGTCTCACTCATAGCAGGAATCTAGAAAACTTAAATAAGGGACCAGGAAAAAGAATAACTATAAGAAAGAAAATATCAAAATCAACAAAAAACTATGAACCAGAGACACACTATGGGGGGTGGGGGGCGAGGAAAAGAGGGCTTGGGGTAAAAATAAGGGGGTTGTAATTGTATGGAGAATATAAAAATAAAATTTAAATTAAAAAAAATTAAAAAAATAGGAAAAGGAAAAAAAATGCTTATCCAAACAAAAATCTGTACAAATGTTTATAGCAGCTTTGTTCATAATTGTCAAAACATGGAAGAAAAAAAACAATATCAATTTCTCTCTCATATAAATATTCTCATGTATATATAACATATATTATATGTATAATTATTAGATGCAAGTTAACTTGCTGACCTTTAACTTTAGAAATAAAGCTAATACAAGAACATCTAAAAAAAAAAGCTAGATGACTTGCAACTGAAAATCTATATGTAAAGTTTTACTATGATCCAAGGATAGAAAAAATCTGGAATGAAAGGTAAAGGGAGATATCCACTAGAATAGAAGAGGAAATAGAAGCACTTTGAGAAGGCAGTGCAAGAAGAAAAGGAGGTCAGGGTGGAAGAGGAAGATGGAACAATAACTTGTCAATATTCCAGTAAAAGAGAACCATTCTTCAGAAAACATATACATTTAGACCTTAAAACTATCTTTAATTTTAAACCAGTTTTCTTTCAAAATAAGACAGAAGTAAACATACCAAGGGAGCATATCTTGGTTTTGGAGGTGAAGGAGGAGGCATCTTGCACTGGCAGGGATGTTTGACCTTAGGTGATGATAGGAAAGGCTCACAGGGAGGTAGTGGTGGTCTCATTCTTGTTGGAGGAATTCTGCCTGTACGCTTTCTTTCTTTTTCTTTTTCTCTGAATTTAGTCTTCCTGGATAATCTGTATTTTGTCTTTGATTCCAGTGCTTCTTTCTTTGAATCTGTAGATGAAGCATCTGATTCATCAACTCCTATCTTTTTAAGCATATACAGTGCATCTTCAGTATCAATCTCAACACTGTTGATCAGTTCATACTTCTTTGGGTCTTTCTTGGAATTTGCATCAGATCCATCAGTAGACTCTGTACTCTTCTTTGCATTATAGTTCTTGATATCTTTCTTTAAGTCTTTCCTAATTTTAAATTCCAGATCAGATTCAGTTTCACTAGAATATTGAGCCATCACTGCATACTTCTTTTTGTCATCCTTCTTATTCTTCTTTTCATCTTTTATATTCTTTTTTGAAGCCCATTCAGATTCAGAATCAACATCAGTAGATATTACATCTTTCTTTGCATCATTTTTCTTGTCACCTTTCTTTGAATCTTTCTTGGCCTTCTTTGAATCTTTTCTTGCCCCTTTTGAGTCTATAGATTCGGTTTCAGTAGACCCTGCATCCTTCTTTTTCTTGTCACCTTTCTTTGAATCTTTCTTAGACTTTTTTGAATCTTTCTTTGCATCCTTTGAGTCTACAGATTCGGAATCAGTAGACTCTGTGTCCTTCCTTATATCCTTCTTACTATCTTTCTTTGTTAGTTTCTTATCCTTTTTTGCATCTTTTGAATCTATAGATTCAGCATCAGAGCTCTTCTTTGACTCCTTTGTAGGTTTCTTTGAATTATTCTGTGAGTAATTATTTAACCATGCATTAAAATCCATGGATCTAGCATCAGACTCTTCTAAATATATAATTAAATCCATATTTGAACAATTTTTTGAGCAAGTCTCTGATTTATTAGCATTGTTCTTTGAACACTCATTATCCCTTGAACAAATGGATTCAGTATCTGTTTCCTTGGACTTTCTTGAATCATTATCCTTTTTTGGATCCTTCATTGAGTCCATCTTCAAATCTTTAGATACAAGGATTGTTTCAGATTTGTACTTTGGCTTCTTAAATAACTCACTTTTGTGTGGTGATTTTGATGGAGATTTAGATGTTTTATTTCCTCTTTTAATTTTCTCATCATTTAATGTTTTCTTGAATTCTGCAGTTGCTTCATATGGGCTTGCATTTTTCTTGGAACCTTTCTTCAAAGTTGTTATTTTGTTATCTTTTGAATTTTTCCATTCTATTCTCTTAGAATGAATTTTGGGAGCATAAGGATGTCTAAATGGAACCTCTCTCCTGATAGTTAAGTAAACAGATGGTCTTTGGAATTTTTTTCTTAAAGAATGCCTTATCCATATATGAGCTGGCTTCTGAACTTCCTTTAAACATCTTTTATCATGTCTCTGAAAGATTGTTAGAATAATGATGAATATTTTTAATGAGCTATATATTTTTATATTGAAACAAAAATAATCTACATTTACATTAACCATATACTTGCAATTGAAACACTTTTTATTTTTTCAAGACTGTGTGTTTTTCTGTATGTGTGGCGGCAATCCCACTTTGGAAATAAGATGACTTTAGGAGAAATCTTAGGATTTCCTCAATGATTTATATTGGTTTGGGAGCAGGCTCACAATGAATCCTGGCATTGGAGTGCCTGTCCTTAAAGATGAGAATGAGTTGCTTTTGGACCCCTATATAGCAAAGGGTTTTAGAAACACTTTATGCACCCTTCACCCCCAAGTTAGATCAGAAATAAAATGATTCCCTTGATATTTTTCATGACAATTCTTGTGAAGTATAATGTTCAGATCTATCCTGGTCTCTCATCATATTGGGAATCTGAGAGCCCTGCTGAGAAGTACTGTGAAAAAACAAGAATATAAAATAAAACAAATATTTTTTGTCAAATGATAGTGTAATTTTTTTAAACTCTCAGGAAAACATTGGTCAAATCTAGTTGTCACCATTGAAACAAAGATTGATTTTACATTTATTAATTATATTCCTTCAACTATACAGTAGGCATGCCACTAGTCAATTAAATTATCATGCGGAATTAAAGGGGGGCCATGAAGAGAAACTGGAAAATCAGATAATTCTACACAAAATAAATTAACCTTGAATAAATGCACTGACTGTAATTCTCTCTGGGAGATTATTTTAACCTGTATTTTGATATTACCATGAATGATAACCGTAGACTTTTTTTTTTTCTATTTTTGGTAGTTGATACAATAACTTCACTTTGTAAGGGCAGTAGCAAACTTGAATTTCCAAGTATCCAATATCCTGAGTACCAGATTTAAAAAAATGGAGAAACTCTGAAATCAAGATTGACTCATGCTCTATGATTCAAATTTTAAATGTTTTTGCTGTATAGAAACATCACCGAAGAGATTTCACCACTTGAAACACTAGATTATCTAGTTTGATTAGTTTATGAACTATGGCTGTGAATTTGAAAATCAAGAATAAATTTAATCTGAAACATGTTGAAGCAACCTGCTATACAAGGAATTATAGATCAAAACATATCTCTTCTTATGGGTAGCAAATTTCAAATTTTATATATGCTATTTATTTTTATATAAAGCTATATTACCTTAGATTTAATTAAAAATTAACTTTACAGTACTTACAGGAACTATAACTTGTATTTCTGAAGATCTTGATCTCTTTTTTCTACCTGGCTGAGGTGATTTGGAAAATGTCAAAGCAAGGTATTCTTGATTCCATAACGTTCTGCTCAGTTCACTGACTTAAATGAGAAAAGATAGTTAACAATTTGGAGTGAATAAACATATTTTCCATCAGCACAGAAAAAATACCAGGTAAGACATACATTGTTTAATTAATCTAAGATGCAACTCAAAATATAGCTTATTCCCTCTGAAGCAGTTTGGTTTGCATAGAAATTAAATAAAATAAAAACTGATTTCCCCATTCAATATTGAATTAGATTTAAAATGACATTTGTAATTTTATTTTCTAGATTAAACACATTTTCACAGATAGTTACTTAAATAGTAATAAACAAAATTTCACAGGAAGTTACTTTAAATACTATAATTAAAACAGTAGTCCTATAGCTGCTGCTGCCAAAGGGTATGACTGATTTAGCTGAGGTTTGCCTCAGATGCTGGAATTGAGGGCCAGGGCCAGTGCATGCCAAGGGGAGAGAGAGCTGTGGCACTGGGCCTTTGAGCTCAACATGCTGCCTGTGGCAGCCCCAGGACAGCCTGGCAGGCTCCAACAGCAACAGTGGTGGTTATTTGCAGTTCTACACAGTGGAAAGCATGGAGAGAAAGTCTATGCTGTACATAGCCTTGCAGGTCTGGAGGTGGTGAAATTAGCCCTACCCCCATTCAAATCTTGAGGAAAGAGACCTGTGGTGCACTAGGTAAGCCTGAATGATTTCAAGGCCCATCACTAACATAAGACTGCCCGACCTCAATGCAGTTTGGGTCTGGATTCACCAGCTATAGTTTCACCTTAAACATCATGTCAGAATTGAAGATTGACCAATCGGGTTCTCTCTCTCACTGGACCAATCAGGTTCAAATTCTGACCTGTGCCATTCAAGAGCTTTAAGACCTTTCAGATTTGTAAATAGACCAATCAGATTTGAGCTCAATTAGCACCAATCAAACAGCTGGAATTATAAATGACCAATCAAGTCTGAAAAGTAGGGACCTGATTGGCATATGAACCAGGGCTGCAGCCTGTTTTAACCCATTTATCAGATGGCTTCAGATAGATTAATCAAGGAGATTTGTCTGGTTTGCCGACAGATTTGTCCAGTGATTCATCTGGGAAATCTCTATAGACCTTTGTATATCTTCCAGACCCTTTGAGACCTTTGTAGGCCTCTAAGAACTTTGAGACCTCTACAGACTTCAAGAATTTCATACACCTTTGGGAAATTCTAAACCTTCACAGACCTAATCTCTGGCCCTGCCTCTGACATCTGCAGACTGGCACCATTGACTCATGTCCAGTGTTTCTAAAAAAGCTTTTTGCCATTAGCTTGTACCCAGTACCGCCATCAGCTGTAACTCTGGTGTTTCTGGCACTACTGCCTGCTGATCAGTGCTGACTGTCACTGCTGACCTTTCACTGCATTGATGACCTGTGTCTGGTTGCCTCTGAGAGATGCCCACTGCTTACAGGTAAGCCACCAGCTCCAGGCTCTCATCAAAGAGAAAACACCACCTTGCATAAGCAACCTTTGTTTTGGATTACTGGACACTGTGGACACTATCTGGGACAGGGCTGTTGATCTTTTGTGACCTTCAAAACTCTTTCCCCGAATTCCCATTTTTAATAAACCCTGTTGTTGCACCCTGAGTTATGTCTTGCAATTGTAAGTGCAGGGGTGAGGACCCACCAACCAGTATACTTAGCCCCACATTTGTACTGTTTAATAAACAGTTGGAATGCAAAACAAAGTATTACTGCTTTCTTTCAAATGCCTCTATAATTTCCTCTATCTTGGTTTCTTTGTATATGACATTTTGTTAGATTAAAAAAAAACATAAGGGACCAGGAAAATGAATATAAGAAAGTGAAAATCAAAATCAACAAAAAACTATGAACCAGAGACACTTTTTGGGGGGTGGGGGGCGGGAGGGGAAGGATTGGGGTCAGAATGGGGCATTTGCAATTGTATGGGGGAATATAAAAATAAAATTTAATATTTAAAAAAAATAAATAAAATAAAATAAAATGTCAAAAAATAAAAATAAAAAAATAAAAATTAATGTTATGGTTGCACCAGGCAATAATAAAAGCAGTAGTCCAAAGGAAAAAAAAAAAAAACATATTTTCACTTTGGTTATATTCCCCACGCAATCATTGTGCACAAATGAAAAATGATGTAAGAATTATATAAAATAAAATATTAAAAAATAAAAAATTGGGCCTCCCGGTGGCGCAGCAGTTGAGCGCTGGGTTGCAAAGCTGTCTGCAGCCTCTTTAGCACAGGTTCGATCCCTGGCCTCCGGGCGAGGGTCCCACATGGAGCACAGACCTCTCCTGCCACCCACTGCTTCACTCAGCAATGTATTTCGTCAGTCTGCCTGTTCTGCTCTCTGCTCTATCTCTGGTGAATTCTCTCACCCTCCCGCGCTTCTGATCATACCCAGTGCTTGTAAAAATACATAAATAAATACTAATAAATAATTGAATAAATAAATAAATAAAATCATATTTTATCCCAGGAACCATATTTGAGGAAGAATATGTGTTCCCTTGAGGGCATACTGAATAGAGTGATCAGGAGGATCAAAGGATGTTGAAGCTACATCAAAATAGGAAATGGTGATGCAATTTAGGATAGTTTTGGAGATAAGGAGACTGATGAAATGTGTTCACTGTTTTCAAACATTTAAAGAGCTTTGATAGAGAAAAGTAGTAGCAACAGTAAAAAATAAAAAAGCTGCAATTCCTAACACTGGAATAGTGGCTAACATGCCAAATTGAAATACTTTTTACATATTAACTTATTCTCACAACCCTTTGAATTGGATAATATAATTTTTAATTGTCTCCATTTTACTATACAAAAATGATATAGAGAAATGAAGCAACAGAAAATGTTAAGTTACTGGTCCAAAATCATGAAGTAAGTAGCAGGGTTAACATTCAAACATACTTTGGTTGCAGAATCAATGATCTTATGCAAAAATTAACCTTATTTTTAGTGTTTACTAAGAAAAGAACTAGAATCAATGGGTAAAAGTTTTATCAGCGTGGGCAGATTTCAGTTTAACATATTAAGGATAACTTTCTTAAATTTGTAGATTTTCAACAAAATGTCCACTTTAATCTTTTTGACTATATTTTGTTTTCCAGTTAGTGCTTTGTAGTTTTGAATTTTAAACAAAATGAAATTTATACAACTATGATGAGTTTTTATAATGGAGAAGAGCAAAGTAAATATCTCATCCTTGAATAGCTATTACAAATACAAATAAAAACCCAAATGCCCAAAAATAGATGACTGGATCAAGAAGATGTGGTACATATATACCATGGAATATTACTCAGCATTCAAAAAAGATAAACACATGCAATTTGCAGCAACATGGATGGCACTGGAAGGGATCATGCTCAGCGAAATAAGCCAAAAAGAAAAAGAAAAATACCGGATGGTCTCACTCATAGCAGGAATCTAGAAAACTTAAATAAGGGACCAGGAAAATGAATATAAGAAAGTGAAAATCAAAATCAACAAAAAACTATGAACCAGAGACACTTTTTGGGGGGTGGGGGGGCGGGAGGGGAAGGATTGGGTCAGAATGGGGCATTTGCAATTGTATGGGGGAATATAAAAATAAAATTTAATATTTAAAAAAAAAATAAAATAAAGGTCTTTAAAACAAACAAACAAAAAAAAAAAGCCAAAAATATTTTAAATATGCATATATACCAACACACACACATTTCATTTAATTTTAACAAAACATTCAGAGTGTTTTATGTTTTCTCATATTGAAGGAAAGATACTAGACATTTGAACAAAAATCATTTAAAAATATAATCTAAATAATATTGAACTCCAATGACTACATTCTTACTTGGCAAGGAATTATCATCTGCTCTGATGTTTCCTTCTTGTCTGTTAAAAGAACAAAAATGCTTTATTTGAATTTATACTCTGGCTAATAATAATAATACATTATAATTAATAAGCTTTTTATAACACTTTGAGAAATCTTATGCATTTTCTGAACTCCACTATCTAAGAATGTCCACCTTTAATTCACATTACAATTTCCCCCTCCCCCCAAACCATGTTATGGAAGATAAAAGTATATTTTCACCAGAAATTTGAAACTAAAACCATGGATCAAAAATTGAAATAAAAACATTAATTTGTCCAATAGAACATAGTGGTGGGCAAAATATGAAAGTATTCTTTTGTAGAGGTTTAAACCTATAGCTCTGGAGGCATATAGAAAAAGTAAAACCTCCTTTGTAAAACCAAACATAATTTGAAAAAATGTATAAATAATTGTACAGAATAATTAATTCAACCAATCCCTGTCAATCCTAAAGTGAAAAAGTCTAAACCAATAGTGAACCCATCTGTTTTCTAAATTCACTAAAGTTCTAAAAAACACCCACAACTTTTATTGTTTCATCACTTAAACCAAACCACTAATGATTTATAAGAAGGCTACATGTAACTATTGATCTAGATTATGAATTGTTACTAGTTACTGGGAAAATGGGTCCATGATATTTTCTATTTGGTGTGAGCCTATTTGATTTGGTAATGATGGTATTTTCCATTGAGGGTAATATAATTTTTTTAAAATATTAATTCTGTGCTCCTCCCTCCCTCCCTCCCACCCTTTTCCCTCCTCCTCCCCGGCAGTATATCTCTGGTTTATAATTGTCTGTTTTTGCTTTCTTGTGTTTTGTACTGTTATTATTTTTTACACTGATGTCTCATTTGGATCCCCTATATTCCTGTTATAAGTGAAACCATCCAATATTTTTCTTTTTTCCTTCTGGCTTATTTCACTGGGTATAATTCTTTCTAGCTCCATCCACGTTGCTGCAAATGGCATGAGTTTATCTTTTTTGATTGCTGAATAATATTCCATTGTGTACATATACAACATCTTCTTGATCCAGTTATCTATTTTTGAGTATTTGGGTTGTTTCCAGGTTATACCTATTGTAAATAGTGCTGCTATAAACATAGGTGTACAGGTGTTCTTTTGAATCACTGTTTTTGTGTCCTTTGGGTAGATCCCTAGTAGTGGAATTGCCTGATCATATGGTAGCTCCATTTTTAGTAGACTGAGGAACCTCCAGACACTGGTGATGGTGCATGGGTGCCTTGGGGAAATAAATTCTATGGGGACTCAATCTGAGGGGATGGAGGGAAGCTAATATTGTCTAATTTTTTTAAATGATAAATGTTGAAATAAACAAAGAAGAAAAACTATTTATCATAAAAAATTGGAAGCAACACACCAAAAAATAGGAGAAATTTAAAATTACTCATTATTCCACTCTCCCGAGATGAACTATACACATTAGTTACATATTTTGCCAATTTTTTGTTCATATAAAATTCATTTTTAGAAAATGGAGCTCATATTTTACACAATAAACCAAATTTTGTAAAACACTAAAAAATATTAATTCCTTATTAGTTGGCAGGAACAGTGAGCTGTGACCATTGCTTATTCTGAGATTGTACTCAAATACACGTATATCTTAGAACTTGATTTTTTTAAGAACCTAATCCACCAGCTTCTTAAACAGAAATAAAAATAAGTGAAAATGGTTAAATATACTTATATGAGTCAAATCTGTTTTCATTTGCAAAGTAAAGCTTTGTGCAAAGCCTCATCCATATTCATCATTAAATAACTACTGACTTACTTAAGAAAGATTTTGGAAACACTAATAAAAATATCTAGTCCAGCAGTTCCTAACTGAAGGTTAATATAAGAGTTTATTTGGAATTTTTAAAAAATAAATATATTTGAGAACTGCTGCTAGACACATGAAGCATACTTTTTGTGTGTGAGTTAGTCAAGTCTTTAATTTTAAAACTACTAGGTAATTTGAAGTTGCATTCAGGTTAAAAACTTCCACTCTGAGAAAACAAGCAAGGAGGTAAAATAAAACAAAATAAAATAAATCTTCTCTGTGTGTTGTAGAAAAAATAAACTTCATGGATATCTGAAATAGTTAAAGATTGTGAATAGTTTGTTTTTAATCACATTAATATAATTGAATAGCTAGAATATATTTTGGCATGGACTCCTTGAAACTTAACAGTTTGAAAGTTTAGCATGCTGATTGGATTGCTGTTTTCATATTCAGAGAAATAACAGACTGCAGCTATACTGATTTTGACTTTCTTCCTACATATTTTGTAAACTTTCTTTTGAGCACAACTCTTAGTGTGTATGCACAATTAACATTTTCTTATAATAAAATACATTATGAATCACATGTTAAGAAAAAAAAATTCAAAATATGAAATAAAATATATAGATTAGAGTTCTAATAACTTATTCTCACACTCCAAATATTTTGCTCATGCACCTCAGTTTGGATAACACTAAAAAATACAATCAAGGAACAGTGAGAAAAGGGACAAATCAGGCAAATTTAGTCTCAAATTATTGGAAGTTTAAGTGTTGTTAAAGCTCTGGGTACTTTTCATTTCAAGATATATTCTTAGTTTTATTTTTGTGTATTTTATGTTAAAATTTATAAATGTCTATAAATTATATATCTATATACACATATATATTCAATTGGTACATAGGCAATCCTAATCTATATATTGACATAAAAGGGAAAATGAGTGATAGAACCCAGAAGACAATGGAATGATATTTTTAAATTTCTGAAAAAAAGAGCTTTCGAATTTAGTATATAACTGAAAATTATTCTTTAAAAATGAATATAAAAAAGACATGCTTACAAAACAAAATAAAATTGAGAATTTAATTGCCATCAAAAAGCACTAAAAGAAATACTAGTGTGTGGGCCTCCCCTGGTAGCGCAGGCAGTTGAGCACAGCGCTGTGTAGCTGTCCAGAGCCTCTGCAGCGCCATTTGATCATGGCCGGCTGGCGAGAGTCCCACATGGTGCAGCAGACCTCTCCTGTCTCGCCCAATGCTCTCCTCAGCAGTGTATTTCATCAGTCTGCCTGTTCTGTTCCCTGCTCTGTCTCTGGTGAATCCTCTCACCCTATCGTGCATCTGGCCTGTACCCCGGTTCTTGTGTAAATGGATAAGTAAATCTTTTAAAAAAAATAAACTTTTTAAATAAAAAAAAAGAAATACTAGTGTGAATTTTTCAAGTAGAAGGAAATTACCCAAGGTGATGCACAGACTAAAGGGAATCATAAAGAGCAACTATATGAATACAGAACATATTTGTTAACTAGTTAAAAATAATAATGATGATATTCTATAGAGTTAGAAATGATGAAAATAACATTTATGGTAATTTTATTTAAGGTAAAGGATGGTAGGATAATGTGTTTTAATGTATTTGCATTATCTGTGAAGTAGTAAAATATCAATTCATGCTAAAAATTAGTAAATTAAAAATTAATATTGTAATCTCCTATGTAAACACAAATAAATAATAATATACAACTAATTGGAGTTCAAAGGGAACATGCAATAAAATATTGATTGATACAAAGGAAGTAAAAAATGAACTAAAGAAAAAATATAGTAATTTAAAAATAAGATATTAGATTCAAATTCAAACATGTTTATACATTTAGACTAAGGGAAGGGCCACACATGGGTGAAGAAACACACACAGACCTGGCAGCTTCCAAGGCAAGCGTACATCAGCCCGCTCACACTACTAGAGTTCTTGTGAAGCCTGGAGTGACTGTGCCAGACATGACTTGGTCCTCAGTCCCCAATGCCCCATTAGGAGCACCCCAAAGTCATGCCTGCCAGCACAAGTGGCATGGTGACCATGCAGAAACAACAAATTTGAAAGCAAACAATAGGGAGAAAGAAAGATACAAATGGTCAAGAAATCTCTCCAGAAAGCAGCACACCACAAAATGAAATCTAGTTGTTGTTCCACAACAACACTGATATGGAAGAATTCTCTGCCTGAGAAGAGCAAAAAAGAAACTTCTCCAAAGAGGAAATACAAATGGCCAACAGGCATATGAAAAAATATTCAACATCATTTTCAATCAGGGAAATGCAAATCAAACTACAATAAGATACCATCTCACACCAGTGAGAATGGCACATATTAAAAAAAAAACAAAAACTAGCAACTACAAATGATGGCAAGGATGTGGAAAAAAAGGAATTCTCCTTTTTCTGCTGGTGGGAGTGCAAACTGGTCCAACCACTATGAAAATCTGTGTGGAGATTCCTCAACCTACTAAAGATAGAGCTTCCATATGATCCAGCAATTCCACCCTTAGGTATTTACCCAAAGGACACAGAAACATCAATTCCAAAGAGCACCTGCACCCCTATGCTTATAGCAGCACTATTTATAATAGCTAAGCTTTGGAAACAACCCCAAATGCCCAAAAATAGATGACTGGATCAAGAGGATGTGGTACATATATACAATGGAATATTACTCAGCATTCAAAAAAGATAAACACATGCAATTTGCAGCAACATGGATGGAGCTGGAAGGGATCATGCTCAGTGAAATAAGCCAGAAAAAATACTGGATGGTCTCACTCATAGCAGGAATCTAGAAAACCTAAATTAGGGACCAGGAAAAAGAATAACGATAAGAAAGAAAAAATCAAAATCAACAAACAACTATAAACCAGAGAGACACTATGGGGGAAAATGGGGAAAGGAGGAAATGGGGTCAAAATAAGGAGGTTGCAATTGTATGGGGAATATTAAAAAAAAGGGAAAAATGTAATACATTAAAAAAAAGAAGAATTCTCTGTCTGACAGATAAAGATTTCAGGATGGTCATAATAATAATAATAATAATAATAATAATAATAATAATAAAAACAATAACTTACATATGAAGAAAAGGAAAAGAATGATATGAGAAATATAATCATAAACTGATGAATGAGAATGAATCTTTAAATAAGAAAATAAAGGAATTGAAGGAGCT